CCTTGGCGACCAACCTTGCACGATATCTCACTTCACTATCACAATATTTCTTTTTAAGAACCCACTTGCACTTCACTACTGTCCCTGCACTAGGAGCATCTACCAACTCCCATGCATCATTTTCATTAAAACAGTCCAGTTCTTCCCTAATAGCACTTAACCACTGCTCCTTCTGTGACCCTGACAACGCTTCCTGTAGCGTCAGATCACCAGCATCATCCCACGTTTCTACACCAGAATTGGTACACATGTTGGAGAATCCATATCTATCAGGTTTCTTCCGTAACCTAATAGCCCTCTTGTCATGCTCCGAATCTCTCAATTCAGTTGACTCAGCATCCTCATAGTCACTCGGTATATATGTCATATCAGACTTGTCATTATAACTTTCAGTCATAGTATCTTCCGAGTCACCTGCAGATGTGTCCCCCACTGAATCTAGACTTTCTTCACTGTATTCTTTGCCTTCTGTCACAGGCATAGACACTTCCTCCATTACAATCACATCTCTACTTGTAATGATTTTCTTAGTGATGGGACAATAAATTCTATACCCTTTTATGTCCTCTGGATAGCCCACAAGTATCTGCTCCTTTGACTTCTTGTCCCATTTTTGGCGCTTTTCTTGTGCAACATGCACCATGACACGGCTGCCAAAAATCCGCAAATGACTTATGTCTGGTTTACATCCTGTCCAAACTTCATAGGGTGTTTTGTTGTTCAATGCTGACAGGACAATGCGGTTATGCAAGTAGACAGCTGTATTTGACGCTTCGGCCCAAAATTCTTTGCCCATCTTAGCATCAAATAATAAACACTTTGCTTTCTCAATAATTGTTCTATTAAAACGCTCGGCCAGGCCATTCTGTTCTGGCGTGTAGGGGTTTGACTTCTGGTGCAAAATGCCACTCTTTCTCAAGTAATCATCAAAACTTTTGTTGCAAAATTCCGTCCCGTTGTCACTGCGAAGTATTTTAATTTTTCTATTCAACTGGTTCTCTACCTTGGCTTTATAGTTTTGAAAGTGTTGAAATGCTTCGTTCTTTTGTTTCATGAAGTATATGTAAGTCATGCGACTGTAATCATCGATGAACAAAATGAAGTATTTCGACCCACCAATTGATGTATTTTCCATCGGTCCACAAACATCACTGTGAACTATACCCAATAATTCACCACTTCTAGAACCAGCTTGTCTAAAAGGAAGGCGAGACTGCTTACCCTCGCAACAAACAATACATGACGACTGAGAAATGTCACTTTTCTTTTGAAGTTCCATGCCACTCACTGCATCAGGCATCTTGTTCAAGTATACACTGTTTACGTGGCCTAATCTGCGATGCCATGTATTTACAGATATAAAAGTTGCAGCCAATGTACTCTCAGGAGTTTTCAACCTATAGACACCATTTGTCAATGACGCGACGCCAACCAACTGCTTACTTTTGTTGTAAATACTGCATCCACTGGTAGTAAACCTCACTTGGTTACCATTTTTGACCAATTGACTGACCGACAGCAGGTTTGTGGTTAGTTTAGGCACACACAACACTCCTTCGACTATCACGTCATATTCGCTATTGTCAGTAACCGTCGTAATTTGTACATCACCTGAACACTTCACATAAAGTTTTTCTTCATTCGCAATGACAATTTCTTTGATGGAATGCTCGGTTGAAACATTTTTAATCCAGTTTTCGTTTGAGGTTAAGTGTGCACTCGCCCCGGAATCAACGTACCAATCTTGTTTCGAAAAACTGCCATTTAGAAAAACAGCGTTGAACGCATTCGTTTGTTTACGTTCACTTGGTTTCGTATTTGAAGATATTTTGTCCACAGTACATTGATTACGATAGTGCCCGGTTTGTTTACATCTATAACACCGCGGTACTTTCTTTGACTTTGACGTTTGCGCATATCCGTTGTCTTTGGTTCGGGCGTGACCAATGCTGCCAACCTTTTTATTAAAAGTTGCAAGTGCTCCGTTAAATTCGCCGCCATTATTTTCTTCCAAATCCATCAACTTTGACTTGATGGCGTCGGTGGTGATGGCGATACCAGAATGCTCGATCGCCATAATCATCGGCGAGTATTTCTCAGTCAAACCGGCTAGCAATAAACAGCCGATCCACTCGTCACTGATTTGAAATCCCGTTCCGCTTAGCTTTTGACCAGTTTCCACTAACTGTGTCACATAACTTGTCATTGAATTACAATTTTCAAGACGAATCGAGATGAGATTTCTTAAACTGATGCGTCTAGTGAAACCAGAGTCATCAAATAATGCTCTCAGCTTTTTCCACAGCTCCAACGATGATTTGACTTCCTTTATGTGCACGTATAGGCTCGAGTCGATTGTGAGAATTAATTTAGCCTTGGTCCTCGCATCATCAGCGGCTTCTGTAATTTTCCCGGCAACAGGTTTAATGCAATGCTCCATGTTCTCCAGGATCAGAAAATTCTCCGCCGCGAAGCACCACTCCGTGTAATTTTCCCGCCCTTTTAGCTTTGGTACATTTACCAAATAGTTTGCCGACATGATTTATGTACTTATCACTCACGACCTACGCTAAAAAACTGAGCTAAACTGAAAATTACGACTGTCCCTAGCTAAATATCGGCTTTGCTGGGCCCATAACCTATTATTAATGATTAATTAAAACAACTTTTTGATAGCGAGCACGTTTCTATATTCCGTTTATAGCAAAGAGAAAGACACACATAGACAATACATAGAGGGATAGCATAGACTAAAATGGGATTAAATTCTATTACAAAAAACTATTTCGATATATATAAATAACATATGGGCGCTGATTGCTTACCATCAAGTGATCTATCAGCTCGTTTGCTGTCTTGTCTCATAAAATATATAATCTGTACTACTTGCCTAGGGAATTGTACCTATTCTCATATATTTCGATTTCACAGTGTATGTAGGGTAGGTCAATAAAAAAGACAACAATTCTAAGCTTGAATATTATTTATTTTATGTACAATTTAAATATTGTTCGTTTTTATCACAGAGTTTTCATTGTTTTTAACATTTTTTTTTGTATCGAACAGAAATGGCGGTTGTATATGTACAAAATCACATAATTATTCGTAAAATTATTGTAATTGTTTATTTATTTGTTATTGTCAAACAAATTGTGTAGAGATTATTAAGCCACTTTTATTATTTTGACATATTATTTTATTATTTTGACATAATATTACGCCATAAATAATTTTAATTACTTACAAAATTATTACACCATGTCTTTTGCAGACCTACTATATTTATTATTTTTTAGAAAAATAATATAAATAGAGGTATTTATTGTGTACATTTTACGATATTTGTATGAATTCTTCTTAGCTTAATTGCCACGCATATCTATTGTAAAAATTTCATATTAAAAATACGTTAAATAAATTAATTGTCAGTTAAGCTACTAAAAATTCAATGAGATATCGTAAAACAAGCTATTGACGTCTTAAATTTTCTTTGAAACACATGCAAATTGAATGTTGACTTAAAATTCCACAAACAAAAATAACAAATAACTTAAAGGAAAAATACGTAATAATATTAACTTAAAACTAATATTATTTACATTTAATTTACAGTAAAACTTAAGTTAAATAACTTACTTTTACTATAAGTAGACACCAATTTATTCTTTAGATGTCTTAGCTATAAAATTTAGTCTGAATAATAATAAGTATTATAAAAATAATTATTAATCTGACTGCACTGGGCAAAAGAAAGTCGTCGGTTTGATTCATGGAACAACTCTTTGTATGATACACAAAATATTGTCCGGATCTGGGTGTGATGTGTAAAAAATAAGATCAGACTAATTTTAAACTCTAAGACTTCGCAATACACACCATTTTATACCTAACATAGATTGAACATTGGTAACTATCACAATTAGGCAAGAATTTATGTACATAATAAGAATAAATTCATAAATTACGCCACAAAAATAATAATAATAAGATAGGCATTATTATTTCATACAAAACATACATAATATTATGATACAATAATTTACATTTTAATTTAATAATAATTTCGTCTGACATGACAATATAAAAATTTAATAAAACATAAATAAATTCGACCTCATTTAAATAATAGTTACTTACAAAAAAACAATAACGAAAAAGATAACATAAAGATCACGAATTTGCAAAAAAGAAATATCATCATAAAATAAATATTCTTTGTACTTTTGCTTTTATAAATAATAAAAATAAATTATAATTTAAAATGATAATTATCAATATTTATTATTCTAATTATTATTTGATAATTATCGTTATTTATCCCTGAGCAATAAAGAGAGAAAACTCAGATCCGATATTAAAAAAAAACATGTTTTTTTGTAAGATGTCTAATGAATGCCTAAATAGCACTTTCATTAAAAGGCATAACCTTCTTTCCGGCCGATTCTAGGACAATTCATTCGTTCTTCAACACTTCATCATAATTGTCTAACGCAGTCCTTCAATATTTTTTTTAGCATAAATAAATTTTATGTTTTTAGTCAACAGATTAAATATTTCGATGATTCCGGTAATTTAAACATAATGTCATCATACACACATTCTATTTCGATGACCATGTTGCTGGTTTTCATATCGTCAGCTATTTAAATTGGTCATCAAACTCTTATTATACCTTGTTTAATGAAATTGTTGAATTGCAAAAAACAGTCAACCGGATAACGTATACAGATACAATTTTAAATATGAATTAAAATCAAATTGTCTCAAAACAAATACACAAAAAATAGTGCAGGACCATACCAAACCCAAATGATTGAGATCATTTCAAGAAACAAAACAACACCGTCAAAATGGAAGCCTTCTTCCTCCCCCCCCCCCTTCTTCTTTAAACCCCATCCCCCCCATTAAAACAGTCTTGGCACATCAAGTTTCATATAGAAACTTTCAAAATTTTGTACAGAATTTTTTTTGGCGAACAGCTTAGAAGAATCAATTCTTCTTCAGACGACGTTTCTATCCGTATTGACATCTCTTCTTCGAGCTGATGCCCTGGTACTTGCTCTGATCGAAGCCCTAATCGAGGCTCTGGAGCCGATGGCACTGGGAACTGCTCTGATGAACTCTTGAGGTTCGGCGGTGGAAACTGAAGCTCGTTTGGTATACCTGGCGGTATGTTCCTCGCTCTCTGGTTGTTCGGGCTTTTTCCTGGAATTTTAAGGGGAAGTTAGAAATGATGTTGGATAGATGTTAGGTTTTGACTGCACGGTTGGTGCGGTGGCTGGGCAACCGGCTGCCGTGCAACGTGTCGCGGGTTCGATTCCCGTGCGAAACAACACTTTGTGTGATCCACAAATTGTTGTTCCGGGTCTGGGTGTCATGTGTATGTGAACTTGTATGTTTGTAAACGCACCCACGACACAAGAGAAAATCCTAATGTGGGGCAACGTTATTTAAAAAAAACAAAAAAAAAGGAAAACAAGGTAATATAAGGTCGAAAGTAACTTATTGATTGGTTTTCTTTAGATTGCCTTTCATAATAAGATAAAATTTATTTATCTATTTAAGTTTTATACAATAACTATCGTGAGATATACTAAATTAACTAAAATCGCGGATTACTCACGTGAATATATTCACTTGTTTCACTTGAATTTCGACTCAATTTGTGTTGAACTTAAGTTGAAATTCCATCTCTAATCACGAATTCCACCAATAAATAAATAATTGATACAGATATATCACTCTTACCTGGGGAAACAAGGATTGTCCCAGAACCTCTGATCCTTTCCAAAGTTCTCTCCATCAAGCAGAGTTTGAGGCATCTCAGTGTCCATAGTCTCTGGCAGGAAGAGACAGAGTAGACCACCAGCTATACCCAGCACGCCAAGAATTAGGAGAGGGAGATCTTGAGAGATGTTGGCCTGAAAGAAGAATAGGAAGATTAGGAACATTGCAGAATTTGCAGATAGAGTAAGAAAATTAGCCAATTGTAAGTGCAAAAAGATTAGAAGTAATGTAGGTAGTCTTGACTAGACCAGTAAGGGAGATGGTAACTTTTAAATGGCTTCTAAAACAAACAAAAAAACGTAGATATATTAAAAAAGTAACGTATGGAGTTTCTTGCCCGTTCTTCTCCATTCGAATCTACATCTTGGATTGAGCATCTAGCTTCACTGACAGACTATTATCTAATTTGTATTTATTGACGTTTCCAAAGTATCAAATCATGTCTTAATTGAAATAAATGCTTTGACTTTGACTTTATGCGCGCTCCTAGGAGATTATACACAATATTGCATTAACTTGTAACACAACCACGTAGCATTTGGATGCATATATCAAACCTCCAGAAAGATAAACAGCAATATCATAAATCTGGCCCCTGATTGGCATTTTAAACCGTAAACGTAATAAACGCGTAAAGTTGCTGAATTAAGACATCTGGAGTTTGCCACAATTCCCACGCTTTAAAGACGACCTGGAGATCTCAGGTGGGTCACCCAAACGGTACGGACTCACGACGCAATTTTCACTCGCACTCGCCTCTGTGGCGGAATGGAGCTTTATTTTCAAAACTCACGAGACCGCAGTAAACTGCTGCTATACAGTCATCACGGTTGCGATTATCGCCCACAAACTTGGTGGTTGATTATATTGTACGACAGGCGGTTGAATAATTAGAGTTTCAGACCGGCCGTCCCATTGCGATCGCCCGCCAACCGATCGCAGAGCGAGCGGGTGGGAGACGGCAGCTGCGCTCGCCTGTGCAGCGGGATCCGCAAACAACCGCACACGCCGGGGGCGTAAAACGCACCGTGAAATGTGCTTTCATTTTTTACATATCTATATTCTACAATGGCTGCCGATGACGCAACCGCGGCGGGCGCTGGGGCGACGTTTGACCACTATCTCGCCTGGTGGTAAGCGATGATGCGGTTTACGATGGAGCACGTCGTCCCATAAGCAACCTATTCACTCGGGCCTTGAAGACTCACAGGTTATACCCTTCAGGAAATACAGACTCTGGTAAAGAATTCCACTCTTTAGCAGTACGCACAAGATGGATGTAATGTATGCAATTTCCAATGGTTGCCGATGCCGCAACTGAAGCGGGCGCTGGAGAACTTCGCTTTGCAAGTCCTTAACTTAAGGATGCTTTTGTCCAACATCTGGTGGGTGGTTGATACTTTACTACATAAGACTACGTAAAATTTTTGTAATTATATTGTTATAGGACTCACCAAGTACACCACAAACGGAGCCACAATAGAAGCTACATAGCCCATGATGTGGATAAGCGCTACACCCTGGGCTCTCACTACAGTGGGCAACAGTTCAGCAGCGTACTGTAGACCAATGTTATAAGAGATGTTCACGGCGAAACGGCCGAGGATAGCTAGGGATGCTGATGGTCCACCTGGTAAAAAGAAAAATATATTAAAGTCAAAGCTAAACTGATGAGAAAGTAGAACAAACATACGTAACATAACATCACGCCTTTTATCCCCGAAAGGGTAGGCAGAGGTGCACATTACGGCACTTAAAATGCCATTGTACAATGTAACACCCACTGGGTGGGCCTATTGTCATATACCGGGCACAATTGCAGACTTCATGCTACTACTGAGAATTTCTTAAATCCGGGAATCGAACCCGAGACTCTTTGCCCGGCAGTCGCACTTGCGACCACTCGGTCAACAAAGCAGTCAGGCAACGAGAAAGTAGACAGTGTATTTAAAACCTCTTTTTTAAAACGGTTAATTATTATTAATATACTAAAACCTTTTTCTAAGTGTCACAAATATTTTTCTGAAAACCAAATCAAAATCGGTTTACCCAATCGCGAGATAATAGCGCACAAACATAGACATACATACATACATACAAGTGGAACTGAGAACCTGCTTTTTTGAAGTCGGTTAAAACGTATCAGAGACTTATTTCATCATCATCATCATCATATCAGTCATAGGACGTCCACTGCTGAACATTGGCCTCCCCCCAATGACTTTCATATAGGCTCGTTGGATACGACAAAGTCCTCCCCCAATGACTTCCAATCCCTTCCCTTGGAACCGACCTGCAGCCAGGAGCTCTGTTTTTTGTTTTTTTTTTTTGGACATCCATTTGTTGCTACATTTTTATCATTAACATCTTACTGCTAATGCACAACATTTGTAGGACATCACAGCATGCGTTGAGCTGAGAACACTATATCAATTAATTCTCTTTGCTCTATAAGGTCATCCTACGCTGTGGGTAGACGTCCAGGCTCTGTATTTGCCCGTGACGTCCATTCGCGAACCTTTTTGCTACATGGCCTATCAGTTTTAGGTGCTTATTTTTACTTTTGTTGAATATAATAATAGGTCTAGGTCACTTACCAACTGGTACAGCTGTAGCTAATAAACTGAAGATACCACTGATCACCATGGAACCACACGCTAACCATCTTCTACCCCACCTGGAGAGTAACAATACTCATTAGACAACATAATTTCAACAACTCATAAAGATTCGACAGATGCATACTTCCAAATTTGACTGCACGGTTAGTGCGGTGGCTGGGTAACCGGCTGCCGTGCAACGTGTCGCGGGTTCGATTTCCGCACGGAACGAATGGGCCGGCTCGACCGGAGTGATACCACAGCCTCACAGAAAACCGACGTGAAGCAACGCTTGCGTTGTGTTTCGTCGTGTGAGTGAGGTTACCGGAGGACCAATTACCCTTCCCTTCCCCAATCTCCCCAATACCTGAATCTCCAACGATCCTCAAACTCCTAATCCTCAAAAGGCCGGTAATGCACTTGTAACGCCTCTGGTATTCCAGGTGTCCATGGGCGACGCCGATTGCTTACCATCAGGTGATCCGTCTGCTCGTTTAGCGGCTTATGCCATAAAAAACATGTATCACTTAAACTTCATACAAGTACTAAATCAGCTCCTTACCTGTCCAAAACAGCTGTTAAAAACGTATCAGCAGGCAGCTCAGTAGCTGACGCGATAGTAAACGTCAGGAAGATGTCCAGACCCAAGGACCCAACGTTCCTAACATGGCCATCAAAGACCAAGGATATGGCCATCCAGATTACAATGAGGAGTATCGCATTGCGCCTCAACCGAGGAGTCTTAAACAGGTCCAATACGGAGTAAGTTCTGCATTCAGCTTCTGATTCTTTTATGGTTTTTAGGGAGGATTCCTGTGAAGAAAAAGTTGAGAATGAATATTACTTATTTTGGGAGTTTTATAAATAGTTTTTTTGAGTTTAATGTCGTGGTGGCCCGGAGGTTTAAAACGCCCGCTTCTCATGCATGAGGGTGCGGGTTCGAAACCTACCAAAGGCAAGTACCAATGTGACTTTTTCCGAGTTATATGTACTTTCTAAGATTATTCAGACACTACTGACAAACGGTGAAGGAAACCTCGTGAGGAAACAAAACATCGTGAGGAAACCTCGGCTTATAATTTCTAATTATAAGTTTGAAATCGCCAACCCGCATTGAGCAAGCGTGGTGATTAATGCTCAAACCTTCTCCGTGTGAGAAGAGGCTTTGCTCAGCAGTGGGCATTTATAGGCTGTTGATGATGATAAATAGTTTTTTAAACGTAAGTGTTGCCTATTGTGTGTGCTCCATCGTCGGCTTCATCATCACTTTGCTTACCATTTTCGAGTAGATGTCCAAACGCCTATTAATTTTAAATGATGTCAATTACTAGCTACTTCCGCACGGTTTCACTCGCTCTGCTCGGCGCCTATTAATCGTAGCGTGATATTTTATAGCCTATAGCCTATAACCTTCCTTCGATAAATGGGCTATCCAACACAGAAATAATTTTTCAAATCGGACCAGTAGTTTCGGAGATTAGCGCGTTTAAACAAACAGACAAAAAACAAACTCTTCAGCTTTATAATATTGGTATAGATATCAAAAATGGTTTGTTTATGCTCATAAGATTTCTGATATCTTTTTATTATTCAACTCAATCATTTGATTTGATCGAAATGTTTTTAAATCAAAAGCGTATTTGTTTATTTTTGTCTAACCTGGCAACTATCATCGTCTATAACCAAACATAATATCAACAACGTTCGGTAGTTACTTACTGTAAAATCGCTGAGTACTTTTTCAGGTATTTTAGTCTTGTTGATTCTTTCGAACTTCTTCATGATCGTCAGAGCTTTGTCTATTTTGCCTTGGGAGACCAGCCATCTGAAAAAGGAGACAATTGTATATTTAGTGTTGTAGCTCTGTCGGGTTATTTTAAACTTGCAGCCCGTTCCGGCTTCGCACGGGGTAGACAATTATTTATTTTTGGAAATTTGGATTGTTGTAGTGACATAACTACAATAGTTGGACATATGCTACCCCGGAGATTTTTGTAGACATTATGATGTTCTTCAATATTGTTGTACATTATTTTGTTCTATCGCTAATAGTTTCGGCAGCGCATTTGACGAAAGACAAATTCAAATTTTACCAAGGATTCCTATTTTTTTTCAAAATGAAATGTAGCCTATATCAAATTGAAAAAATGTAGCAATCTATTGGTGAAAGAATTTTTTAAATCGGCCCAGTACTTTTTGAGCCTATTCATTACAAACATACAAAAATAGGTACAAATCTTTCCTCTTTATAATATTAGTATAGATTAAAACAGAAAACTGCACATTAAGTAGGTTTAATTACAAATCAGAATCAAGACCGGCGGCGCCCCGCATAAAGAAATGCCCGAAAGCTTTGGCGTGAGTTATCGGAGTGAGTGAATGAAGAAGCGCGGCGCTCGCGCGGCTGTGGGTTTTTATTTTTATACCCCCGTCCCGCGCATCGCTGCCTCTATGGTCGATGGCCATATTAATAAGCAGACATTTAGTAATATCTCCAAATATGCTAGAAAAGGTGCACTTTACACCAGTAATATTATGACAACTTGGTTAGGCGTTTGCATCCTCTGGGCGGAATTTCAAACTCCTTTAAGTATAATCATTAGAAGATTCTGTAATTCTTTGATCCTCTATTTCTATTGCAATTGTTTTAGATCACTTTATAAAAAAACTGGTCAAAAATGGAATACTAAAGATAAGTCCAAATATCGGAATTAAAAGTCGAATTTAATCATTTATGAAGCCAAAATTTAAAACTGATTTGCAGCCACTCGATTATTGGAACATTTTTTTAAGATTATCGATATTTTTATTGCAACTGTTGACTGGATTATTTATTACTAGCTTTTACCCGCGGCTTCACTCGCGTCACAAAGGGATGAAAGGAGCCTATGTGATATATACCAATACTCACAGCGCCATCTTTAATAATAATTTCGTTTTCCCTTGGGAATATTAAATTTTTCCGGGATAAAAAGTACCCTATTATTTAATCCAGACTTCTAACTATACGTCTGCAAAATTTCAAAGCAATCGGTTCAGTAGTTACAACGTGAAAGCGGAACAAACAAGCAAACAAACTTACTTTCTGATTTATAATATTAGTAAGGAAGTAAGGATTTAATAGGAATATCTAAATCATTATTTAACTTTTTACGTATCAAAATCTTACCTAGCGCTCTCAGGAACCAACCAAGGTGTCAATATGGCCAATGCGAATGGCAAACTGGTGCCCATAGCAAACATTCGCCAATCATCAGCCCATAACGCGATCCAGGGTAGAAGTGACGCAGCCAGGGTGAAGAACAGAGCGATGGACATGTTTGCAACAAATGTTCGCCATTTGGGTCCAACGTACTCCAACACTGAGGATAAAAATAGCATTATAGTAAAAAAACGAGCATACGGATCACGTAATGGTAAGCAATCAGCACCCGCTCGTGGATGCCAACAACACTGAAGGAGATACTAGTGCGTTGTTGGCCTTTTTATCCAGTGAACCTCAGCTTTTTTTCAGAGGGGAAATGATCCAATTACTTCTCCCGTCCGAGTGAGGCGAGAGGGAGTATCAGACTCTTACTGACTAAAAACCACCCTGTTCCTACTCCTGCACTTCGAGCCGGAGCCCCGGTAACCTGTTATCTCGACTGCACGATTGGCGCGGTGGTTGTTCAACTGACTGCCACGCAGCGTGTCGGGGGTTCGATTCCCGCACGGAACCACTCTTTGTGTGATCCACAGATTGTTGTTCCGGGTCTGGGTGTCATGTGTATGTTACTTGCATATTTGTAAACGCACCCACGACACAGGAGAAAATCCTAGTGTGGAGCAACGGTATAAAAAAAAAGAAAAGGATCTCCGCGGCTCCGTATGGGCATCAGCCCTATTGGGCCCTGTTCTGTGGTTTGAGGGTGTACAAGTTATGATGTCTTTTCTACCTTAAAAACTATAACAAAGGCCTTACAGAACAGTATAAGCAAAATTTGTTTATGCGCATAGTCGTCTATGGGATTTTTGTCAGGCGCATCTTTAATATTTATGTTAATTCCAATAACACATAACATAACATCACGCCTTTTATCCCCGAAGGGGTAGGCAGAGGTGCACATTATGCAACTGTATGTACAATGTAACACCCACTTTTCACTATTTATGTTATGAGTCCCATGTAATAGGGGTTGAGCCTATTGCCATATACCGGGCACAATTCCAGACTCCATGCTACTACTGAGAATTATTTAAAAACCCAGTAATACTTTGCACGACCCGGGAATCGAACCCGAGACCCCTTGCCTGGCCGTCGCACTTGCTACCACTCGGCCAACGAGGCAGTTAATTCCAATATTGTGGACAAATTATTTGTCGTTCTCTGTAGATTTTTGGTTTCTTTTTATTTAATTTTCTCTATTAGTTTTAGTGTATGTTAAGTTGTATATTTAACTGTAGTATAATTAACTTACCCAGGATATACATCATAGTAAAACAGTTGTCAAAGGCAAGTCCCACGAAGAACCTGCAGAGTGCGAATGTGAGGAAACTATTGCAGAACGAAGTTCCAATTCCTGCTATGAAACCGAGGAGGTTGGTACCTGAAAGGGAGAATATAACAATGAGTTAGTATATTCATCGTTATTTATTTCTTACTAGCGACCCGCCCCGGCTTCGCACGGGTGCAATATGTATATACTTACATACAAACCTTTCTTAAGAATCACTCTATCTATTAAAAAAAACCGCATCAAAATCCGTTGCGTAGTTTTAAAGATCTAAGCATACATACGGACATACAGCGAAAGCGACTTTGTTTTATACTATGTATTGATTTATTTTCAGTCATGATCGTCCCACTGCAGGGCAGGAAGTGCAGAGAAATGAAGTGGTTGATACGAAGCCAGAACACAATTTTAAAAAAAATTTTGTATGTAATATGTATACTATACACATAAATACCTATAGAATAAATATATTAATACAATATTTTATAAATCTGTATAGACATACCTATACATCCTTATCCTTACTAATATTATAAATCGGAAAGTGAGTTTGTTTGTTTGTTCCGCTTTCACGCCGTAACTACTAAACCGATTACTTAGAATTTTTGCAGACGTAAAGTTAGAAGTCCGAATTAAATAATAGGTACTTTTTATCCCGGAAAAATCTGACATTCCCGAGAGAAAACAAAAGTATTGGTATAGATGGCGCTGTGTGTATTGGTATATGTCACATAGGCTACTTTTTATCCTTTTGTGACGCGAGTGGAGCGGCGGGTAAAAGCTAGTACTAAATATATTATGTTTTCGGCTTACTCACGTAATAATTTGACGAGGGACTCGAGTAGCCAGTAGCAGCGCGACAGTCGCCTCGTCGCGGGTCGCGAAATGCTGCTCATGATATGAGCTTCTAGCATGGCTTGAAACTAGTCGAGTTCCTCGTCAAATAATTACGTGAGTAAGTCGAAAACATAATAAAACACATACATACATACACGTCAACTCTTGTGGGCTGTTATCAACAAACTAACATACGTAACGTTGCTCGATCTGGGAATGCAACCTTAGACCTTTTATTCAGCAGTATGTTCAATCGGCCACTCGACAAAGCAGTCATTACTAAGGAATCGAACCCAAGGTCTAGTTTAACTCTTTGAGTACCGTCATTATAGACACAATTAAAGAACAATAGGTTGCGGTCACCGGTGTCCTCGCGGTGTTTGACAGTTTAAAATTATACTTCAGCCATTAATTGAGTCAGATCGTATCATCGTAGAACATACAAGCAAAATGAAACCTAAACACTTACCAACTAAAGCTGGAATTCGTCCATATTTATCAGCTATCCATCCGAATACTAGACCGCCTACTATAGCGCCGCAGAAGAAGATAGCTTGAGCTGTAGCGCCTAGGTTGTCCTTGTCGCACACCCAATCCAGCTGGAAGGAAAATAGCACGTATGTTAGGGAGTGTATTTTTTTTATTTAATGGGCCGACGTTCGTCCACTAAATCGCCTTTAACCCTTTAAAAAAATAATAAAAACAAAAAAAACATCCGAACATATAGTCAGAATTTTAATTAGATTCCAGATTTGACAATAGCTACTGTCATTTTGTAAAATAATGATACCACATATAATAGTGTAGTGATGCACACAAAAATCGATAAACAATCAGAGTGTGTGTTCTTTAATAAATGTTACAGAAAGTGACAGGATAGCGATAGCGATGACGGCGACAATTTATAAAATAACTTATTACCATAATACATCTATCTATTTTATTTGTCATTTCCTTCATGATTACATTTTTTTATTTATTTCACACACAATTATAAAAGAAACGTCTCAGATCGTTAATTAATCGTCAAAACTAAATTATCGGTTCAGAAATATTTAATTTCCTGATATACTCAGTTCACGAGAGTAAAATTATAATTATTATAAACGAGAAGAATCGATCCAGAAATAATGTATTTCCATATCGAATAATTTCGCAACGTCACTATTTAGTACTTGTCATAACGTTGCCACACTGAAATTGTCAAATCTGGAATCGAATTAAAATTCCGAGTATAGTACCTCCACCTTTTTCGAAGTCGGTAAAAAAAGAAATATACAGGGTGGAATTTCGTAATGCCATCTGAAGGGGAAGTACCACAGAAATTTCTTTAATATATCTGTGGGAAGTACTCTTAATACTTTAGATAGAAAATTTTACTCAAAGAAAACATTCCTATATTTTTGAAAAGAAAGAAAACTGCATTCAAAGATTTTTTAAAATTTGCTTGTTTCACTCGGTCATCGAACCGACTAAAATCTGTCAAAGTTTGCACCCTTGACTTTTATTACATCGATCGTTCATTGTTTTCCTTTCATTATATTTACGAAGTTTGTTAGAGAGATTTCATCCTTATGGACCCTAACAATCGATGCAATAAAAGTACAGGGTGCAACTTTTACAGATTCAAGTCGGTTCGAATACCGTGGGCGGCAAGCAAATTTTAAAAATCTTCGAATGCAGATTGCTTTCTTTTTAGTCTGTCAGTCAATACGTCAGTGAAGCTAGGTGAAGCTACCTATCTTAAGTATTAGGAGTACTTCCTCTTCAGGTGGCATTATAAAATTCCACCATGTATATAAGTATGCCACTTACCTCAGAAGCAATTGTATCATAAGGAACATCGGACTTGTTGTACTCCCACCCATATTTGCAAGGTACGATCTGCCATTCATCATCAGGAGTCGTTCTACCATCAGCCAACGCCTGCCTGAAGTCCGCTGAGTACATGTTACAACGATCGTGGGAGAAGGGGCCAGCTGATGGTGGGATGGCTAGAGCTCGCCTGGAAAGATAGAAAAGTGTAATCACTATCACTACATAGTATAAAACAAAGTCGCTATCCGCCGTCTGTCTGCCCCTATGTACGCTTAGATCTTTAAAACTACGCAACGGATTTTGATGCGGTTTTTTTAATAGATAGATTGATTCTTAAGGAAGGTTTATGTAAACGTATAATACATGCATATTGCACCCGTGTGAAGCCAGGGCGGGTCGCTAGTATAGTACAAAACAAAGTCACTATCCGCCGTCTGTCTGTCTCTATGTATGCTTAGATCTTTAAAACTACGCAACGAATTTTGATGCAGTTTTTTTTAATAGATAGAGGGATTCTTAAGGAAGGTTTATATGTATGACATAACATAACATCACGCCTGTTATCCCCGAAGAGGTATGCAGACGTGTAAGTACATTACGGCACTTAATGCCACTGTACAATGTAATACCCACTTATCACTATTTATGTTATGAGTCCCATGTTATGGGGGGTGAGCCTATTGCCATATACCGGGCACATTTCCAGACTCCGTACTACTGAGATTTTTAAAAAAAACCCAGTTATACCTTGCCCGACCCGGGAATCGAACCCGAGACCCCTTGCCCTTATATGAGTTATAGGTATAATAGATGCATATTGCACCCGTGTTAAGCCGGGGCGGGTTGCTAGTTTAAGTATATTTTTTATTATTATAAATCATTAGATACGTATTTTTATTTTCTTACAGAAACGAATACTTTCGACGATATATTGATTTGAAATGTCGCGTGACGTCACTTCTATGTACATACATTTTATACGTAGAAATGACGTTTTAACCCCCACTCCTAAACTTTGATTCGTTTTATCTAAGTATTGTTTTATTATAGGTACGACAAAATAAAAAAATACGTGTCTAATAATTTTTCATTACTTAACTGACGGACTAATTAGATTCTTAATTTTCATACCCTGTCATCATCCCAATTACTAACAAAACGTTAAGCGATCAATTTCGCAGTTAAAAAAGCCGGATATTAAACTCTCAAGTATGGATATTGCTAAAAAACTTGCCAAGTTAAATTTGTTCATTGAAGGTTCCGTATAATATAAATAAACAAGTGCGACTGCCGGGCAAGGGGTCTCGGGTTCGATTCCCGGGTCGGGCAAAGTACTACTGAGTGTTTATAAATTCTCAGTAGTAGCATGGAGTCTGGAATTGTGCCCGGTATATGGCAATAGGCTCACCCCCTATTACATGGGACTCATAACATAGATAGTGAAAAGTGGGTGTTACATTGTACAGTGGCATAATGTGCACCTGTGCCTACCCCTTCGGGAATAAAAGGCGTGATGTTTTGTATGTTATGTTGTTGACGTTTCAAAAGGTACATACCAAACTATGGTTTAAATGAAATAAATGCTTTTGAATTTGATTTACACAATTACACATTTTATACGGATCTCCAAAACAGCACAACTACACAACAATTAATATAGGAAACGAATGCATTGCAATATTCGCACCAATAACTATTAAATCATTGACTTACAAAGTAAGACCTCAACGTTTTGTTTATTTGACCTTCAATTAAGGTTGTACATAACTAGGTTAGTCAAACCGGCTATCGGTTCACTGGTCAGCGTGACTTGTGATCACGATCGCTTTTTGATTTCAGGTCTGATGATTTTTTGTTAATTTATTTATTTTTTGTTAAAGGAAAGAAACTCCGTCCCAAGAAGCCGGTAACGCACTTCTCGCAAATTCACGTGTCCATGAACGGTATTGATCGCTTACCATCAGGTGACCCGTCTGTTCGTTCGCCTCTGATTCAGAAAAAGGTATTTGTGATGCGATGACGTCTGATAGGGGAGAATGATGGAAGACATATTGTGCCACAATTAACTAGGAATTTGGGTAACAGGCCAGCAGGTCGGTATGAATCAACAGGTCGCGTATGTGATGGAAGCTAAACAAATATGTAAGAAGCGTAGTAGGTGGCGCTCTGTAGTTTCTATATACCATCAGATATATGAATGTGATGGAAGCTAAAGAAGTATGTAAGGAGCGCAGTAGTTGGCGCTCTGTAGTTTCTGTATACCATCAGATGTATGAATGTGATGGAAGCTAAAGAAGTATGTAAGGAGCATAGTAGGTGGCGCTCTGTAGTTTCTATATACCATCAGATATATGAATGTGATGGAAGCTAAAGAAGTATGTAAGGAGCGCAGTAGGTGGCGCTCTGTAGTTTCTGTATACCATCAGATGTATGAATGTGATGGAAGCTAAAGAAGTATGTAAGGAGCGCAGTAGGTGGCGCTCTGTAGTTTCTGTATACCATCAGATGTATGAATGTGATGGAAGCTAAAGAAGTATGTAAGGAGCGTAGTAGGTGGCGCTCTGTAGTTTCTGTATACCATCAGATGTATGAATGTGATGGAAGCTAAAGAATTATGTAAGGAGCGTAGTAGGTGGCGCTCTGTAGTTTCTGTATACCAACAGATGTATGAATGTGATGGAAGCTAAAGAAGTATGTAACGAGCGTAGTAGGTGGCGCTCTGTAGTTTCTGTATACCATCAGATGTATGAATGTGATGGAAGCTAAAGAATTATGTAAGGAGCGTAGTAGGTGGCGCTCTGTAGTTTCTGTATACCAACAGATGTATGAATGTGATGGAAGCTAAAGAAGTATGTAAGGAGCGTAGTAGGTGGCACTCTGTAGTTTCTGTATACCATCAGATGTATGAATGTGATGGAAGCTAAACAAGTATGTAAGGAGCGTAGTAGGTGGCGCTCTGTAGTTTCTGTATACCATCAGATGTATGAATGTGATGGAAGCTAAAGAAGTATGTGAGGAGCGTAGTAGGTGGCGCTCTATAGTTTCTGTATACCATGGTCTAAAGGCGTGACGTTGCGATAATTTATGTTAAAATCTAAAGGAAACTTCAAGCTGTCTTTTTGTTTAATTCAATGACCTTGTGAACAATATAATAATATAACATAAGACAATCAAGTCGTGACATGACTACCCTTGATGTACCGGACGTAATGGTGTGGGTTAGCAAAAAATTATGAGCAAAGTTAGGTCGTAAGTGTGTATGTAAGTAACAATGGTTTCTAACGGTATTGATTATTATGAAAGGGAACATTATCTTTCCTCCTGAAATATAGATTTGTTTTTCTATATTTATTTATACTCGGAATTTTAATTCGATTCCAGATTTGACAATTTCAGTGTGGCAACGTTATGACAAGTACTAAATAGTGACGTTGCAAAATTATTCGATATGGAAATGAAATATTTTCGGATCGATTCTTCTCGTTTATAATAATTATAATTTTACTCTCGTGAACTAAGTTTATAAGGAAATTAAATATTTCTGAACCGATAATTTAGTTTTGACGATTAATTAACGATCTGAGACGTTTCTTTTATAATTGTGTGTGAAATAAATAAAAAAATGTAATCATGAAGGAACATGACAAATAAAACAGATAGATGTATTATGGTAATAAGTTATTTTATAAATTGTCGCCGTCATCGCTATCGCTATCCTGTCACTTTCTGTAACATTTATTATAAAACACACACACTGATTGTTTATCGATTTTTGTGTGCATCACTACACTATTATATGTGGTATCATTATTTCACAAAATGACAGTAGCTATTGTCAAATCTGGAATCTAATTAAAATTCTGACTATATATATGTATTATAATTGTATTATATTAATTTGTTTTATTGTTTATTATTGTTAATTCTATTGGTTTCTTCGGTCTTATTACTTTTTTTTTATTAATTGATTTTTATCTTGTTTGTGTAACACACTATGTGTCTCAGTATTGTTATTTCTTTTCCTGCCACAGGCCCACAGGAAGAAATTCCAGTTGGAATATGTGGGGCCTATGTACTCTGTTTTTTGTTATGTGTTGTCCTCTGTGTTGAATGTGTGTACATAAATACATAAATAAATAAATAAATAAAGTGATATGCTTCTTGCGGATACGACACGCTGCGTCACGCTAGAACATGGGCTAAAACACATCTATCCAATTCGGTGATTGGACTCAAGACCTTTATGCTTAATACTCTTACTTATAACATAACATAACATCACAACTTTTATCCCCGAAGGGATAGGCAAAGGTGTACATTACGGCACTTATTGCCACTGAACAATGTAACACCCACTTTCCACTATTTATGTTATGAGTCCCATGTAATAGGGGGTGAGCCTATTGCCAGTTATCGGGCACAATGGGGTAGATGACTAATTTTTACTTTAACTCGTCGAGTACCGGTTTTATAGACACAATTAAAGAACGGTCGCGGTCACCGGTGACCGCGTGGTGTTTGACAGATTAATGTTCATCTGGTAGATTATTTTAAAACATTACACATGTATTTTTATTTTTTCACAGAAACTAATACTTTCGACGATATATTGATTTGAAATGTCGCGTGACGTCACATCTGTGTACTACATTTTATACGTAGACATGACGTTTTAGCCCCCTCTCCTAATCTTTGATTCGTTATATCTAAGTATAATTTTAATATACAAATAAAATAAAAAAATACTTGTCTAATATTTTTTCATTACCTAACTGACGGACTAATTAGATTTTTAATTTTCATACCCTGTCATCATCCCTATTCCAGACTCCGTGCTACTACTGAGATTTTTTAACCCTTATGTGAGTGACAAATAAAACACCTTTATTAGAGTGACGAGGTACCCGGGTACCTTCATACAGTTTAGACGTAATGTAAACAACAAAGGTCTGTTTTAACGTTACCCACACTTTAAATATTAGTTACCCACATTTTAGTTAAGCTAAACAGTTGACGATCTGAGGCGATTAAAGCGGGGGAGGAGTGGAGTGCGGTATATGGTTATCAGCGCACAAGAAACACTTGAATCCATTCAATGCATCGTGCTTGATATTACACTTCACAGTTTACTGTGTTCGCATTGTACGAGTTTACTTCTATTTTGTGAATTTATAAATATTTCATTAT